TGACGAGCGTTTACCTAAAGGAGTTCTTCACCCTTAACTGATTTCTGGTCTTGATTCATGTGAACGCATTGGGAGTATTTGCTTTGCTGAAGAACAGCGTTACCCTTGATTCCTTGGCGATTTTGAATGAGTATCCAAAGTTCTGTACTCGGCTGGAGGAATCCAGGGTTGAATTGGAATTTCTCAATTGATGCTTGCAGACAAGCCGCTAACCAAAACACTTTTGGAGATAGATACGGCGCTGTGAACTATACCCGAAAGCAAAAACTTTAAAATGATGCACTCAATTATGTGAATACCATCCGCGATGAAGTGTCGGAGCTGGACCGATTCATTTTGCATAGGTTTCCAGCGGTGTTATGCTTGTCTGAAGATCTGTGACAGCTTTTGAGAAATATGTGGAATTGGGTAAGTTGAAAATGGGAGTAAGGAAGCAAAGGAAGTTACCTAGTACGCTTAACAATCAGGTCCCACAATTGACCTTTCCGAATAACCCGGAAAGTTATGTGTTCATCCTTTCCAGTGTAATACTAGTTCTGACAAAACTGGAGGTGCTATCATTAGGTCCCAAGTTTTGCATTGCATGTAAGAAAATAGATCAGACAGCCTTAGAGGTGCGGTTTGAAAGCCTAATAGTACAGACTAGAGACCTGTTTCCAACATCTAGTGACGCTGAGAACCTAAAATCTAGTCTGGTTAATAGTTGTCATGTATATGTTAAGGCTAAACCATCTAGTAACGGTAGTATTTTAAGGGAGCAAATTCAGTCAGTTGAAGAGTTACGGTCAAACAACGAATTAATTATCTCCAGGCCAGACAAGGGATGCGGAACAGTGTGATTAGATAGGGTGGATTATATCTGTCAAATGCATCACACCCTCAGTGACGAACGTAAGTTTCAGAAGCTTATGGCAGGAACGGACAACACAGGGGAGTTAGAGAAACAGTTGACCGTCTGCCTCAGGCGAATGACGCAAGTCAAACGTATCACAAAGAGCGAATTCAAAAGTTGAAGCCTTCTGGTGGACACCTACCGAGATAATATGGTTTTCCTGAAGTTCACAAGGAAGGCGTCCCAATGCGTCCAATCTTGGACATGGTGGGTTCTCCCAGGCATTTGTTGGCCCAATGGATGGTGAACAAATTGCAGCTGTTACGGGATATGCTTTGCACTCACTGTGTGCGAGACACCTTCGAAGATATCTGGGCTCAACTTTACTAAGAAAAGGATGATATCATGTGATGCCCAGTCGCTGTTTACATTCCACTGCTCGAAACGGTAGATTACGTTCCCAGTTGACCCGGCAACTGCCAGTATACGCTAGTTTTCCAGAGGATTTGCTAAAGGAGATACTACTTCGCTGCATGTTTAATCTTCAATTCACGTTCAATGGTGAGATGTACCGTCAGATTGACGGAGTGGCCATGGGATCTCTTTCGGGGCCGTTGTTGACTGATATCTTTATGGCGAAATTAGAATATGGCCCACTCGGGACACATATCTGTGGAACTGAAATGTACGTACGATATGTCGATGACACCTTCGTGCTTTGCGAATCCGAAAAGCATGCAGAACAGTTGCTGAGAGCCTTTAATGACGCACATGAGAATCTACGCTTCACTTGTGAGCACGAAAACGGAAACCGATTACCTTAATTGGATGTAGAAGTCATCCGCAACTCGGACGGCTCATGTAGCAGGAAAGTACACAGAGAGCATACGTGAACCGTCAATGCACTAACTTTCAAAGCGCAGTGCTTTTACAGCACAAGAGAAGTTTGATCCGATCTCTTGCCTTCAGGGCGCGCAGTATTTGCACCCCGGATACCGTCAATGAAGAACTACAGAGAATCAGCGACGCCCTTCGGGAAAATTGTTATCGCGATAAGTTTATCATGAAGCAGCTGTAAGAACGAAAGCGAAAGGCACTTAGGAGCATTGCTCCCAGGAAAGAGCTGTTCATACATTTGTCATTTAAGGGCGATACTACAGCTCATATGTCGTCTCGAAGTCTGAAAGATGCTGTTGAGAAAACGTATTTCGCAGTCCGTTCGAGAATTGTTTAGAACAACAAGCCATTGCTTGCAAAACCTATGAAAGATGGTCTGTCATCGTTGACCCGTTCACTGCTCGTTTCTCAGTACTCGTGCTCCTGTGGTGTACCATATGTGGGTCGCACAGCGGGACGGCTATCCCAGACGATTCGCGAGCACATCCCGGCATGATCTTACAAAGGCGAAATGAGGTCCTCAGACAGCTCAATCATGTCGCACCTCCCCGAATGTAGCCATACTACATCTGAGAATGACTTTAAAGTCACCTACTCACTAACTGAACGCTTCTCGCAAGGATTCCGAAAGTAGATATTGTCTATTGCGGAGGCTATCTACATCCACCATCTGAAACCGGAATTATTTGTACATAAACGATTCATACGGCCGATACTACTACCGTGGCCGACTGACATGGTTACTTAGTTCCGCTTTGTGACCTTACCTATTTACTTGACTGCTGAAGGTTGTGTATTAAGTTGCCTTTGGTGCACTTTTCTTGCCATCTGTAGCCGCCTTTAGTCATCGAGTTTGACCGTTCAAACATCTTAGAAATCAAGCCCAGTCCTATTCGACGCTTACCCCACACTATCAGCGTTATGTTAACGTTTGGGTCTGACGAGATTTTACCGTAAAGAATAGTTAACCCTTAACTGAGTGCTGGTCTTGATTCATGTCAATTACAAATCTTTGACTAAGTCAGCGGATTATCTTTGACTCAGAAGCGCACTGAAGAAGTCACCTCGTGTGGTGAAACGTCTGCATACCAATCGCGAAGCTCGGCGAACAGTTGAGACCAGGAACCATCAACCCAGACTAATACTGCATCAAGTTATTGTAAGCCTTGTCAAGATGAACATTGAGCCCAGCCAGACCGCGGATGACAAACAACACCCGATCACTTGAAATGAGAAGGACAAATAATGTTTACCGAACAACGCATGCGGAAAGTATGAAAAAACTAAATGCTAAATGAGCATACGTAATAAATGGGCTTTCAACAAAGTTGCACTTGCGTGCTGAGTCCCTTTATATCAGGTGGTGGTCATCCTATCCAGTCTTAATGCTTATTTGCTTACCTCATTTTAATATCTACCAGCATAGACTAATAAATTGCAATTGTCGCTTAAACAAATGAAGCTTAATTTCGTATTTTGCTCTGTTTTGATTATGTTTCTTATTTATCTGCCACCTTCAATTTATCGCGGCCATGTTATTAATTTATAGATATCCTGTGCTAATTCAGCGACATATCTGTGTGGTGTTTTTCACCTATTTTATTGGCTAGTTTGGTTCATGTAATTGGCTGCTGCTTGACATCCCCTGTGTGGCTGGGCTTGGTGTGTATGGTGACAAGGCGCCTAGCTGTTGATTACCTACTATCTCGTCTATACTGGCTCTTAGAAACAGTTGTTCGTTGTTGGAGGGGACGGGGTGCACGGTCCTTATGGCCGTGCTAGGCTCGAAGAGTGGTATCATGCATACGGTTTGTATGTGGAGCGAACTGAGGTCCAGTAATCGCCTTGTGCACGATTGATTCCCAAATAGAGCATGTTTGTGTTTGCCTGTGAAGGAGTGTGGCCCGGCTCCGTTGATGAAACGTGGCTCCCATCCACATGCCTCCCAGTCTTATTCCTTCGAATTTACACTGGATATGAGGTGTGTGGATGGAGCTGTGGGTGGTGCAGCGCAAGCCACCCATGGTCCCTCCGTAAGCGCAGGCGTCCTATGAAAAGCAGTGACAGGCAAATCTGGAACCGGGTGCCGCCAACCATATGTACGCGAAATAAACGTGGGGTATACGGAGGATTAATAGAGCTGAGCAAATAAAATAAATCGGGTTCAGTCAGATCTGGTGTAATGCGGAACAAGCGTGTCACTACAGCCCACCTGCGGTGGACAAGCATAATAAATGCAATATTGACCTCAGAATGAGACAAACGTTACACACATAGAAACGAAAACAAAATCACTACCTTGGAATTTAATAGGGCTAATATGGAAATAAAAATGCTAGTGGACCTGTTTGTGTAGTAGAAATGAAAGAATTGTGCAGAGCCAACGTTAGAGACAAAGTAAGGTAGTTGCGGATGTGTAATCGAAGCAAAGAAGTTCACCCATCCAGGCAAAACTAAATAAATAAATTAAATAAATAAATAAGAAGCAAAGTTATCGAGTAAACGAGACTGTATCTGCAAAAGGATATGGGTTAAATTTCATATGAACATGCGTGAACCCGCAAATAAGTGAGGGTGAATCGGCAAGCTACACTGGACGGGTGGAAATATTCCTAGGAGGTTGACATCAAAGCTCGGTGCTTAGCAGATTTTAGCAATATGTTAACCAAATAAGAATTAAGTCTCAGTGATCTCACTGATCGAAACAAGTCACGAAAACAACGGGAAATGCGGTACGATTAAGAAGAGACACAAGAACATAAAACATGGTAACCTCAGATAATGACATGCCCATAAAGCAATCATGGGGGCCGGGAGATTAGATCTAATGGGGTAGATGAAAAGATAGAATGCTGACTTGGATAATTATAAAGTTGAGCAATTCGGATAGGTCTGCTGTGAGATAAAGTGTATGGGATGCAATTGGGTCGTTAGATTTGTATAAGATTCCTAAGAACCACAGAAATGACGATGAAAGCAAGGTCAGTCGAATTAGTTACCGCATGGGCAAACCATGAGTTTCTATTACGGATCCACGTGGCACCTCAAGGAAAGCGAAAGAGATTAAGAAGGCATGTGATAGACAGTGAAGCCGTTTGCTAGGAATATATGAACAAAAAATTCTAACAAAAACTGCAATCGATGAGAAGGATGGAGTTACCAACGACTGCAGATTAGGTACAAAACCACGGAACAACATGATGAAACTGCCAAAAGCATGGTGAAAGTCGCCGTATATGAGGGATGGACAAAAGGGTGAAGAGTAACTTACTGGAATAATATATCCCGTCCACAAACGCATGTTTGAGGGATCCACCGTCACATTTCTGAATATTTTGTTGTTGCTGGCGCTGGTTAAATTGGTCAGTTCCTGTGGAAGGAACAGTTGAAAGTTAGGATTGGAATGAAGGTTGGCAGTAAGAACAAGACCTGAGGTGAGTAGGAAGAACGGCTTAGAAGAAGTTACTGTCATATCATGTCTGCGCGCTCTTGTGATTCAGAAAGCGCAAAGTATGCGCGACGCGTAAGACGATGGGCTGGCATGCGTAATAGGTGACCGAACCAACGTAAACAATGTTGGAGAATAATGCCCTAAAGGTAGGGACTGCAAGTTCCGAGCAATTGGCTTCTAATCCCCGTGTTGCTTAAAAAGTGTTGTCACCACGCATGAGCAATGTTTTGCAAGCAGCAGTTATCGCAAGCTATCAATCATTTCAAATCCTCCGTGCGAACAGGTGAGGTCTCGCAGTCGTCATCATCATTCTACACATTAGCTAGAGGTTAGAAGTACTCCAGGCACTGTGCCTCAATGTGATTAAATCATTTGGTAGTAAAAATAGAATGGAAAAAGAAAACAGTATAAAAATACCACCATGGTTTATTCGGATTAATTTGTTGACATGGAGAACGGATGTCGATGGCATTTGTGTCATGAGTTCCTTTGTCCCTCCCCTGCATAATTCCACGACACAAAAGTGATTATAAGCAAGATGTAAAGAATTACCGCCCAATCAACCATACATTCATTATTTCCAGAACCATGGAGAGGTTAGTTAAGGAACGCATAATAGAACGCTTCAGTTCCATGAGATTTATCAGTAAAAATCAGCGGGGTTTCTTAAAGAGCAGACCATGCACCACCTGTCAGTTAGATTATCTTGATTATGTAACTACAGCTGGAGACGCCAGAAGTGCTATCGCTGTAATATTTCTTAATAGCCGAAAAGCCTATGACCATGTCCCACACAAGTTATTGCTGCAGAAGATTGTCTTATGGTATCACGAATTCGCTTCTAAAGTGGTTGTTTTCCTACCTCGATGGTAGAAAGTAAGTAGGCAAAATTGTTAACTTTACATCTGAAGCCACTACAAAACCCAGTGGAGTGATTCAAGGAAGCGTGCTGGGTCCGTTTTTATCCTTGATCTACTTTAATGATCTCATTGATGAAATTATGTTTAGGAAACCTTTTCGCTGATATTAAAATTGTGTATTGTTCAGCCCCTGGTCAAGGTAATCCAAATTTAGCCTGTATAGTTTGACTTGTTAGCATTAGAGCACTAGAGTAACTCCTGAAAGCTGCACTTAGCCACTTACAAGTGCAATCTATTGTACTACGGCTGTGACACCACCAAATATTGGCCGCAGGGGCAGATAGAATATCCCCAGCCCACTTCAAATTCGGGGAACCTCCACTAATAGATAATTTACACGAGTTGCTAGCGGAACTTTATGAGCAGGAGACTGTACCGACAGGCTTGAGCAGATCCGTCATTGTCCCCATTTTCAAGGGAGGTTCCCGTTCGGAATGCGGCAATCATAGAGGGATCGGTCTCATCTCCCTTGCCTATAAATTACTTGCCTCTGTCATTCTCCACAGTTTGACTAGCACATGTGAAGGCTAGATATGCGAAGAGCAAGCCGAGTATCATCGAGGTCGGGGCTGCAGCGACCGTCAAGCGTCCGACCATCGCCAGGTTTATTGGCGACCCACCGTAGTCGAGTTTCCCGACATCAAACGTGCCTTCCATTCGGTTGATCAATGGGCTTTTGGGACTGTATGCTCAGGAAAGCTGTCCGACAAATACGTAAACATTATCAAAGCGTTGCACGCGCATAGTTAGGGCAGAGTGCAGGTTTATGGAAAACTGTTGCCACCCTTCAGTATCACCAGCGGTGTGAGACACAGGTTGCCCGCTGTCAGCTTTCCTATCTAACTTCGCAGTTGACGAAATCATGGAAGTCTCCAGTCTGTGTGTCCAGTCAACAACAGTACCCACGCTGGCCTCACTAGCATGGGAAGCTGCGTTATTTCCGAACAGACGCGACGTGAAAGAACCCCAGTATTATGAGAAGGAGACAGCAAAGTTGGTACAGAACAGGAGTCTTATAGGTAGGTCACTGATAAGTAGGGGATATCGATCGACCGGATTTCTAACGGTCAAGTAGGCACTGCTTGTTGACGGATCAGGAACAAAGTGCGCATGTTAATGCATTTCAGTGGATGAACTGCACGCTTCTGTTTGGTCGGACATCGATCTGCCGGCGGGGCCGGAGTGACGTCCTACCATTGAAGGAATCGAAAGTAGGGAACGAACGCTTACTAAGACGAAATAGTGCGGTCAGGAAGTTAGGGATTACAAGGGGATGGAAGCCAAGTAACTCAAGGATGATGGAGACGAAAATGCACCAGAGTGAATAAGGAGAGGGGAAGGCCTGAATAAACGCACTCTTACACTTATTCAACCTGCTAAATGCAGCAAGACGCTAAAGGATATCCTCTGTGAAAGCACAATAGTAAGTGCTCGTTTGAAGTTTTCATCACAGTGAGATCCTTGAGGGTCTAAGAGGTGAGATGCAAGGAAAACATGCATTAGCAGCAGCATGTTCTCGCTTATTCGTCCTATTGTATGCATGAGGTATGCGAAAGTTTCCGAAAAAGCGCAACAAATAAGGTTGGAATCTGATGGAGCAGTCATGGCCGTAAGAATGGTGAATACAGCACCCCCTTGAAGATCGAGTTTGTTCCCACTCATCCGAAGCATGGGTCAAAAGCAATCTCATGGTAGCGAAACAACCTGAGAAAGTTGGACAATTGATCCGTTCAAGCACGTGAAGTGGACATCCAAACAGAGTACTTTGAGAAATAACAGCGGGATTACAACGACCAGCCCTAGTAGAAACAATTAAAGCAGTGGAGGATGTTGGTGCTAGACATCTAAGTTCTAAAGAGACTAGGTGAATTACTTATGGAAACGTGCCAAGCAGTGTTGGATTCGCTAAATAACTATTGGCATGGCTGCTTAAGCAATGGTGTACGGAAAAAGATGGCGTCACGCAAATGAACGTCGATAGTCGTCTCCATCCTTCGAGTTGTAGGACAGTAAAAAAAATACCCAAGGTACTAGCAGTACACCGGAAGCTTGTACCGGTGATTTGATCTCACGTAACTACAGTGACCACACGAAAGATGGGATAGTATGAGGTCATCTACACATATGTAGATTCCAGATGGTGAATGGTCGGTTACAAAACACTCGAAATGCTCCGCAACGTTTTGAAATGAGAATAGAAAAGCGTCAGCAGCACACCGGCACACCGGCACCGGCCAATCACGCCTACGTTTCCGTCTAACCACTACCGTCTTCTTCCCCATTGGAGCACGTTTCAGAGATGAACTATGTCTTTCAAGCTGAAATCTCCGTACGGTCGTCGTTCGCAATGATTTTCTGCCAAATTGTGCTTGGCCTATTATCAAAAGATTGTTTTTGATTCCTCATACCTTATATTCTACCTTATTTCACTGACTGGGCTGATCTCTTGATGTGACGGATTACAACTTCCAAGATAAAAAAAAGTTATACCCATGCAAAGCATACTGCCACTGACTCCGGCAAAGTAAGTGCCATACTTGAATGATCCACATGACGGACAGGGCTGAGGTTCCATCGCCCATAATGTACGCATAAAAGAGCCCTCATAAGAAAACATTTATGAAACAGGTGATGGCTTACATGTTATTTTGCCACACCGTCACACAGCCAGTTGGAGCATGGAAGTGCGGATCAAACCTATCGAAGGAATAACCCGCATGGAACAAGGTCCCCTGGGGACGGTTCCATGGATAGCTGTATTACTTCACTGGAACTTTTGGCTACATCTGCATTTGTACTTGTTCCGTTTCTTACTCTTGCTAATACTATCAAACTGCCATTCACTTCAGAAACCCATTTGAGACTCGTTGTACAAAACATGAACAATCAACTATTTTGTACAATCTCGATGTACAAGTTGATTAGTCTAATCAGTTGGGTTGTGACTCACACCGTCGAGGAACAAAACGATTATTTATTTAAGAACGAAAAAATAACACTACTTTTTTTGACTTTGTGCTATGCACTATTGATTAGTTTATATTTGCTTTTGTGAATAATTGAATGCATTGTACTGCAACACAGTAGTTTAATTATTTATCGTCTCTAGGAAAAGCGTAGTGACCATGGTTGTGTTATAGTATGTATTGACGCTGACATCGTGGTTAGGAGAAGGCTAAGCGGGATAGGGCAGGACGAAGAAATTTACAAGACGAACACGACTGACAGCGGTTCTTCGCCATGTCAATAAGTGTTACCAACCAAAGGTGTTCAACATCTTTCGAACCCCATCGCAAAGCCGTACAGCAAGTCCGTACGGGAGGTGACATTGTACAAGTTGTCTTTCAGTTCCAGAACATTGCTATCGCTTCCAATCGGTCCGCGATATACGCTGGTCACCACACTACCTTGCGGATCAAGTATTTACGAGCAAAGGACCCGGTTAGGGTTTCTAAGTCAACTCTAAACTGCGGCAACCGAGATTCTACATACCGGCACATTTAGAGAAATAAATCTACGATTTCCCGCCCTCCGCTTTCGTATGCTAGAACCACTTTCCATGGCTAAAGTTGGACAACCAGCCTCGAGAAATCACCTACTACCCGCCTACTTCCATGTTTGTTAAAAACCCTAAGTTTCGATTATGCTTCTTCAACCCTGAGTCCCCAACAACGGGCCGTCCTAAGAAAAAGTTCTAAGCGCGTCGAAGATCGGTTCAATAGCAACTTTGTCACCCAATCGTAAAAGCAGGACTTACACATAACCCAGTTCTCAATGCAGGTTGAGATCTTTAGTGTACTGACGCTCATATATGAAGTCGCAAGCGCTCGCTCTCTAGAAACCCTCAGCATCGATATTTGTTGTTTCGCAGGACTACAAAACAATCCTACGTCCGACCCGAACTAATGCGCTCATTCGGGGATTCAACTGCTGAACACGCAAACCAGGTCAGCGTGGGAATCGTGTTAAGTGCGATCGTATGGGCAGTATCACTTGATT